CATCAAAAACTAAAATGCAATAAAAATCTCAATTTTGCTAAAAAATTCCCGGAACCTGATTTTTCTAGCAATCAACCCATATACTAATTTGTAATATAATTTTTCGTTAAAAATTGCAAAGTTGATAAAAAATTAATAAAAAATCTTAATCAATTATATTAAATTATATAAACTTAATAAAACTATAGATTGTATCTATACTAAAGATTTTAGATATACTTATTATATTACTATTATAATAATTAGATGTAGTATACTTTTCTTAAATCAGATTTAAATAAGAAAAATATTTCTTTAATACTAATAAATATAATAGTTTTTTTAGTATCTAATTCTATTAAAATTTAAAAGTAATTTTTAAAAACTAAATAATTTTGTAAAAAATAACTTAAAATTTATAATAAAATAAAAGACAATAATATCTTATATTAATAATGAAGTTATAAACAAAAAATAAAATATTTATATACTTTTATATTAACCTTTTAATATTTTTTTGCTAGATAGATCCTAAAAGAATAACAAAAAAATTATAAAAAATAAAATGTATAACTAATTATAGAACAAATCAAAAAATTACTAAAAATAATATTTCTTATGGTAATTTATATAAAAAAAATGAATAAATAAAAGATATATAATAAGTTTATAAATTAAGTTATTTAAGATGAATTTAATAAAAATAATATCCTTAAAGTTTTAACTATATATAATTAGATTATTAGAATAGTATTTTTATTTAAAATATATATTAAAGCATATTTTAGAAAAAATATAAAATTCTAAAAAGGTATAAGAATATTATATAATCAATTATTAAAAAAAAAAATTTTTTAAAAATTAAATTTAATTTTATTTATATAATTTGTTTAGAAATCTGTAATCATATAAAAGTAAACTTTTTTCTTTCAATATAAACTTAAATTTTTTTATATCAATATTTTTAACCTTTATTGTATAATTATGTAAAATTTTGTAGTTTAGATTTACATATTTATTAACTTTTTCTTATATAATTTTTTGTGTATTTTTGAAAAAATTATGTAAATTGTTTTATAAAAATATAGTGTTTTTTTTACTAATTTTATTTAATTTTAGCATTTAAATATATATATAATTATTATTTAATGTATAATAAAACCAATAATTTAATTATAAAATTATCAATTTTTCTTAAGCAAATTAGGTTAATAAAGATTTTTAATAATACATAATCTTTTACCCTTTTAATTATTTAAATATTGAATTCATTAAGGATAGATAATTATATTTATTAAATTAGTCAAAGTTAATTAATTTTACTCAAATTTCTTTATTTTTATATACTATATTATATTATGAAATCTTTAAAATTATTTTTCATTAAGTAATTTAATATCATAATTTTTTAAACAAACTAATTTTTGGTAAATAATTTATTATAATTACCTAAATATTATTATATTATTATTATCTTTATTGACTTATAATAGAATAATAAATTGTTGATATATTAAAAATTTTAATAAACTTTCTTTAATTTTTAAAAGTATGTCTTTGATAATATCAAATTAGTAAAAGTAATAACAACTTTTATTTTAAGATAATTTATTTTAAAATAGTCTAAAAATATTAATAATTATTGAAAGGTAATTACTATTATATTTATATTATTAATAGCTATATTACTATTATTTAAAGTAGTTATTAAAATATAATTTATTCTATTTAAAGTAATATTTGTAGTTCAGATTTAATAGATTCAATAAAATTAATCCTAAAAAAAGATATTTGAATAAGATAATCTACAAAATATCATATATAGTAATTTAGCAATTTAAAATAAAGTATAATTAGAGAAATTTAAGAAATAAAATAATTTTAAAGTAAAAAGAGATTTATCATCATTAAAGAATCTTTTTCAATAAATAAATTCTATAAGAATATATCAAGATTAATAATTTGTTAAAATATTTATAAGCAAATATTTTATAAAAAAAAATTATTATAAATATATGTAAAATTAAATTAGATTGAAAATACTTTAAAAAAACAAATAAAATAAAAAATTTTTTCTTTTATATCAATTTTATAAATATCAAATATGTAAGAAAATAATATTTTTAAATACATATTAAATTACTTGTATAGTAAATTCAATTAAGATAATGCTAATATGAGTATTTTTTATAATATACTTTTTCACATAAAATTATTAATAAAATTTATTATATTGACATTTTTATTTATAATATATTTTGTTTTAATTATAATTATATAAGTATATGTAAATACTTTTTCTAATTTTTAAAAACAAAATATTATTAAATTAAAATTTCTTTATTTTTTATACTATTTAATAATGTCACAAAAACATTATATTATTTTTTTTAAAAAAATATTAAATAGCAAATAAATATTAGGATCATAATAACGTTAATTTAAAATTCTTTCTTTGTTTACTATATTATGATGTAAAAATTATAATTTATGATTATTTAATAAATATTTAATAAACTTAAGTTTTGATAGAATTCAATTATTTTCTTCTTATAATCAAATCTATATTAGCTATAGCTCTCATATATACTATAACTTTAACTATTTTTTTTTAATTAATAAATAATTTTATGATAAAAGAAAAATATCCTCAAATTTATAAACCTTATCATGAATAATAAGAATTAGAGAATTAACTTATTAAGAAAATCTTTTATAACTTTTAAAGAATAAAAGGTTGCTGAAGGTATTTTAAATTTTCTATAGATCTATATTATAAATATTATTAGTTAAATTATTATAAAAAAAGTAAAGTGATAAAGTTTTTATTAAGACTAAAAATTATTGATAATATTCATATATAATATACATTTAATGAAATATTTTGATCATAATGTAGATAAATATGATAAGGATAAAATTAAAGGTTCTATATTTATTATATTTTTTTTAAGGCTAACTCAGCTAATTCAGTCAAACTAAGTAAAAGTTTGTAATCATAATATAATAAATCAGTTTGAACTTCTCAAAAAAGGTTTTATTCATGATATCATACAAGCAACCTATAACAAATACATTAAACAATTCTTTTAAGAAATAACCAATTATAAAAATTTTGAAATTATGGGTTTAGCTTTTTCAGTAAGTAAGTAATTTACACTTGAAGTATAAATGATTATCCTATTATTGTTATCTGAATACCTTTGGATGGATTTCTTAAATATAACTTATCTAAAACTGTTCCATGCAATCCATATGTTAACATAACAAGTCATTAGAACCTGAATATAAAAGCTTACATAACCTGAGAATATTAATTATTTTATAGGTTTCATATGTAATCAAAGAAGAATACATCTTTTTGCTCATTTTTCCCTCTTAAATTTCTATTCTCTGTTATTCAAAACGTTTGCAACCTCATTTTTAGATCAACAACAAAGCATCCTTTTTAAAAATGATCCTTTTCATATTTGACCCTTTGAAACATTTTACAGAAGTTTCAAAAAAAATTTACAACATTAAATGTGTAGTAACCATATAATTATGTATAGTTACTACATTGCATGATTAACATGTCTGATATAATCAATATATAAATTACTTCATATTAAGGAAACTAAAGTTTCTTGAAAAAGGTATTCAAAATTTGAACGGAACCAGCAATAATGGAACTGCTTAATTATTGTAAGAAAGTAATATTCTACTTGCATTGTGCCATAAAACTTATTACATGATGTTTTAGGGAACTTATTTAAACGTGCGTCTCCTGGGATTGGAGTTCTTTGGAAGCGTGAATACAGCTATGAATTTCATCGTCCAGGCTAGTATCGCAATAATTGTTGAGATTGGTGAAGATTTGAATGATCATTGCCTGTTAATGCAAAGATATCTCTTGTTTAAACCTGCGATTAAATTTTTTTTCGCCAAAATTTAAAACAAAAGCTACAAAAACAAAAAAATAAAAATAAAAAAAAAAGTGAAACTTTCGGGAAAAAAACAAAAAATTAGATAATGCTAAATCCGAAAATATTTTGGTTTAAATCATATTTGACCTATAAAAGTAAAATTGAATTTTTTCAGGCATTTTCACTCCTTTCTATTGCAAAATCGAAAATGTACCTTTTTTTTTTTTAATAGACACGCGATTTACTGATAAATTACGTTATCTGAATTTCATATCAGCAATCGACATAGTGGATTCTAGTCTATGTGTGTAATGACTAAGATATTTATAATCCAAAAAAAAAAAATAAAAAAAAATTCTGGAAATGATCGATAAAAAAATACTACTGAAATGCCTTTCTTGTAAATCCTCATACCCAAGTCTCGAATTTTAGAAGAATCTCAAAATTGGAACAACCGTAGTTATCAAAATACTTTTGCGAATAAGATGAAATAGTTGACGTTGGCATTTCTGCGGACATTACCCCATAATATGTTACATGAAATTTTCCATTCGAACAGATAAAAAATATTGAATTTATTGGTGTCGGATTTTTTCAGCCGGAGCTCTGCAATAGTCCTTTAAAGATTTTAATTTTCTACAAGAGTGAAATTCTCGAAATTCTATTATTCATAATAATTTAAGACAAAAAACTGATTTAAGAAACTTGCGAAAAAGCTAAAAGTCATGGATTATTTATAAAAAGCATACAATAAATTATATTATTAATTTTATATTTTCTTTGTTATAGATATGCTAAAACTTTAAAAATTAAGTTTCACGTCTTGTTAGCGAACCCCCGAGGCATCGCCCGAGTTAAACCGCTAGTTTTAATGATAATAATTTATCGGAAAAACAATTTTTTTTACAATTTTATGGTTTTATATTGTTTATTTAAATTTTGGACGAATATTTTCAAAAGATTTTACATTCTTCATATAATTTGTAACTAAACATCTTCAACTCCATATAGTTAGAAATTTTTTAATAATTGTACTGCGCCATGTGCTAAGCATTTTATCATTATTATGTTATTTTACGTCCAAAATAGATACTTCGATTTATTAGAATCGACTCCAATCCTTACATTATGGTTCATGTAATTTATTCATCAGACAAAATTTATCGGTTAAAGAAAAAATGTGAATATTTAACAATTTAAAAAACACAGTCCTGCCTCCGTGATTAATTTTTTTATTACACGCGAGTGCGACGCAAAAAACATCATGACCATTATGAACTTGACTTCTTACACTTTATAATTTGGAATGTGTAACCTTTATTTAAGTTAAAACAATTCTTTATGCCTCGCACGGATTATTATTTGAAAATTATTTTTTTAATAAAAATTTTAATTTTAATTTTAATCAAGATCGGATCAATTTCTTATTTTAGCCAATCTCATTACTTATGTAAATCTATCAACTAATTTGAATCTTTGATCTTCTGCATGATCGCATGACCTTTTATGGCCAACAAAAGCAATTTAAAAAAGCCTATTTTCCTATTGTTGAAGTCATTTACTTGTGATAAATATCCATAATGCAAAATTTCGTAGTAGCTTATAAATAAAATCGACCTGAACTCGGAAAATATTCATAAAAATTAAAAATCATAATGCATTCTGAAAATAATTCTTTAAACTCAACGGAAAGTGATGCATTCACGCAATATAAACTAGCCCTTTCATACGAAAAAGGTATTGGGATGGAAAAAGATTTAGAATTAGCCTTTCATTTCTATCAACAATCGGCTGAATGTGGATATAAAATCTCTCAATATAACCTTGCATGTTTATATGAAAGTGGCCGAGGGACCGGAATGGACTTGAAAAAAGCCTTTTTTTGGTACTATAAATCAGCAGAGAATGGATACGAAAATGCTCAATATAATCTCGCGCGTTTATATGAAGGGGGTAAAGGAACGGAAAAAAATTTAGAAGAGGCCATGGTTTGGTATCAAAAGGCGGCGGAAAATGGATATGAAATCGCTCAATATAATCTTGCAATTCTATATTATAATGGCGGCGAAGGAGTCAAAAAGGATTTATACAAGTCCTTTTATTGGTATCGAAAAGTGGCAGAAAAAGAGCACAACGTCGCACAATATAATCTTGCACTTTTATATGAAACAGGTAAAGGAACAGAAAAGAACCTGGAAAATGCTTTCTATTGGTATGAGAAAGCAGCAGCCAATGGACATGAAATTGCACAATACAACCTTGCACTTAAATATGAAAACGCAAAGGATATGGAACAAGCCTTTCGTTGGTATCAAAAAGCTGCAGAGAATGGGTATTTCAAGGCACAAAATAAACTTGGTTCTTTGTATGAAAGTCATGAGGGAGTGATAAATCATTTAGAGGCCTTCTATTGGTATCAAATGGCTGCTGAAAGTGGGTATGATGTTGCACAATATAACCTCGGTTGTTTATATGAAAATGGTAAAGGAAGACAAAAGGATTTAGACAAGGCCTTTTATTGGATTCAAAAGGCAGCAAATCATGGATATCCTATTGCACAGTATAAACTTGCACTTTTATATGAAAATGGTAAAATAATGGAAGTAAATTTTGAAAAGTCCATTTATTGGTATCGACAGGCGGCAAAAAATGGTCATGAAATCGCCCAAAGTAATCTTGCTTTTATATTTGAAAATGGTGAAGGAATCGAAAAAGATTTGAAAGTGGCCATTTATTGGTATCAGAAAGCTGCTGAAAAAGGTTATTATGTCGCACAAAATTATCTTGGTTATTTGTATGAAAGAGGTGAAGGGATGGAAAAAAATTTAGAAATGGCCACATGTTGGTATCGTCGAGCGGCAGAAAATGGACTTGATGCTGCAAAATATCATCTTGCATTTTTATATAACGAAGGTTTAGATGATACTTTTGGTCTACATAAAAAGGCAGCGGAAAAAGGGTGTAATATTTCACAATATAATCTTGCAGCTTTATATGAAAAGGAAAAAAGTTCGAAACAAGCTTTTTATTGGTATCAAATGGCGGCAGAAAATGGAAACATTAAAGCTCAAAATCGTCTTGGATTATTATATGAAAAAGATGAAAAAACTGAAAAAAATTTAGAAAAAGCCTTCTATTGGTATCATAAAGCAGCAGAAAATGATTATTGTATTGCACAAAATAATCTTGGTTGCTTATATAAAAAGGTAGTAGAAAAGAATTTAGAAAAATCTATTTATTGGATTCAAAAAGCAGCAGAAAATGGTTATGAAGTTGCGCAAAATAATCTAGCATTTTTATATGAAAAAGGTGAGGGAACCGAAAAGAATTTAGAAAGAGCAATTCATTGGTATCAAATAGCAGCAGAAAATGGATTCGAAGTTGCACAGTATAACCTTGGTTATTTATACGAGAAAGATGAAAAAGTCAGTAATTTAGAAATGGCTGTTTATTGGTATCAGAAAGCAGCAGAGAATGGTTATGCAATTGCACAATTTAACCTTGCGCTTTTACATGAAAAAGGTAAAGGGATGGAAAAAGATTTCGAAAAAGCCATTTATTGGTGTCAAAAAGCAGCAGAAAATGGATATGAAATCGCACAAAATTATCTTGTAAGTTTATATAAAATAGAATTTAAATCAAATGATACCTTTTATTGGTATCAGGAAATGGCGAGAAAAGGATATAACATTGCGCAATATAATCTTGCGCTTATATTTGAAAAAGGTGAAATAAGTGATAAAAATTTAGTAAAAGCATTTTATTGGTATCAAAAAGCGGCGGAAAATGGAAATATTGCTGCACAATTTAATCTTGCCTTTTTATATGAAAAGGGTAAGGGAACCGAAAAAAATTTAGAAAGAGCAATTCACTGGTATCAAATAGCAGCAGAAAATGGATTCGAAGTTGCACAAAATAACCTTGGTTATATATATGAAAATAGTGAAACAACAGTGGAAAATTTAAAGGCGGCTATTTATTGGTATCAAAAAGCAGCAGAAAATGATTATGTAGCAGCACAAAATAACCTTGGTTGTTTATATAAAAAAAGTGAGGGAGTAAAAAGGAATTTAGAAAAGGCCTTTCATTGGATTCAAAAAGCCGCAAAACATGGATATAATGTTGCACAAAATAATTTAGGTTATTTGTATGAAAAAGGTGAAGGTACAGAAGGAGATTTAGAAAAAGCCATTTATTGGTATCAAACAGCGGCTGATAATGGATATGTAATTTCGCAAAATCATCTTGGTTCTTTATATAAGAAAGGTGATAAAGTAAAGAAGAATCTAGAGCAAGCTATTTATTGGTATTTAAAAGCAGCGGAAAATGGTTATGAGATTGCACAATTTAATCTTGCACAACTATATGAAAAAGGTGGAGAGATAGAAAAGGGTCCAGAAAAGGCCATGTATTGGTATCAAAAAGCAGCAGAAAATGGATTTGAAGCTGCACAAATTAATCTTGAAAATTTACGTAATACACTTATAGGAAAAGTAAAAAGTTCTTTTCAAAAATCAGCAAGAGAACAACGTAATCGTGCACATCCACATGAGCAACGTGAAGAGAAACAAGAAAATTTAGAGAATGCTGTTCATCGGTATCAAAAAGCGGCCGAGGATGGAGATAAAGTTGCACAATATAATCTTGCATTTACATATAAAGAGAATAATGAGATAAAAGGGAATTTAGTAAAGGCCTATTATTGGTATCAAAAGGCAGCCGAAAATGGATATGAAGTCGCGCAACATAATCTTGGTTATCTATATGAAAAAGGTGAGGGAACCGAAAAGGATTTAGAAAAGGCCTTTTATTGGTATCGAAAAGCAGCCGAAAATGGATATGAAGTCGCGCAAAATTATCTTGGTTGTTTATACGAAAGAGGTGAGGGGACAGAAAAAAATATAGAGATGGCCATTTATTGGTATCAAAAATCAGCAGAAAAGAATTACAGCATTGCGCAATACAATCTTGCCTTGGTATATGAAAGTAATGAAAGAACGGTAGAAAATTTAAAAAAATCCTTTTACTGGTACCAACAAGCTGCCAAAAATGAATATTTGGCTGCACAAAATAATCTCGGGTATCTATATGAAAGAGGTGAAGGAACAGAAAAAAATATAGAAAAAGCCTTTTACTGGTGTCAAAAAGCGGCGAACAATGGAAATGAAATCGCACAGTATAATGTGGGGGAATGTTACGAGTTAGGACATGGAGTTGAAAAAGATGAAGTCAAAGCATTTGAATATTATCAAAAATCTGCTAATAAAGGATATTTTGGTGCCAAATTTCTACTTGGATATTGTTATATGAATGGAATGGGAACAAGCATGAATAAAGACAAAGGATTCGAATTGTATGATGAGGCGGCTGGAAAAAAGGGTGGTGATACGGAGACCATCAGTGATTTGGATAAAGTTAATCATTGGTACCATGAAGCCGCAAACGATGATAACAAAATTGCATTGTACAAGTTGGGTGAATTTTACGAAATTGGAAAGGGTGTTGATAAAAATTTAACTAGGGCATTTGAATTTTATAAGAAATCGGCTAATCAAGGAAATCCTGACGCTCACATGTAGTTGGTTATTATTACGATCATGGAGTTGTAATTGATATTGACAAAGAAAAGGCCTTGTATTTATATAATTTAGCCGCCGAAAAAGGAAACACTAATGAACAAAAAGCTCTGGCATATAAATATGAACAAGGTGAAGGAGTAGAAAAGAATGTAGAGAGTGCTATATATTGGTATACAAAAGCTATAGAGAATGGACGGCAGGAGGTTAGAACAAGATTGGATAATCTTTTAGAATCGAAAGAATAAGGTTGTATTAACCTTTAATAGCATTAAATATTTAATATATATTTTATTTTTTCAATTTATGTAATTATTTGTAAATAAAGTAAGTTTTTAACTGTCTTCTTTCATCAAGTGCTTTTTTTCTACTGTCGTAATGGGAAGCATTTTTCCAGAAAAAAATCCGAAATCTTTTAAATTTCATATTATATTAAATATTGGACTTTTTATTAAACCAGATATAACGTGAAAGGAAGAGTGTGAAAATCTAAAAATAAAAAATTTGGTTTAAACAATTTCTAATTTATGACATCAAATTTCTTGGAAATATCAAGTTTGACGATGGATTAATGTATACTTTAAACACAAACTCATGAATTATCTAGTTTGTTTGCTTGTGTGTAATAAAATTTATGACATTTATGCATATTCCAATAAATTTATTTTTTTAAAAAGTGAAAAAATACATAATTCTTGAGTATCAAAATTCGTTTTTATTAATTTAAAAAAAAATAACTCAATTCATAAATACATTTGTATCCTTTTATTTAAACCAGAATTTTATTTCGCATAAAAACTTATAATATTATTAGATCAGAAAAGAATTATGTAATCCATCTCCACCGTAGTCACTTATGGCATAATTTCTTCTATTAGTTGTAATCAATCAATCATATCTAAATCTTGTCCGTACGTAAAATTTAGAAGTTTTGGGCATAAAAAAACCTTTAATGGAAGGTATTATAGCCGACAATTTTTGTTAGAAATAATTCATATCCAACACATCCATCATCTCGAGGATTTATACACAATTATTACTTACGGAACTTTGGGAATTTTCGGAAAACTTCAAAGATTATTTTTTGCATCTATTGGCGTTACTTCGAATAAACAACTCGACTAAAAAATGAATTAAAGAACAAGGTTAATCATTATCACCTAAACTTAAAAAGAATAGATATCACGATAATGGTCGATACTATCATGGCTTGTTCTACCACGTCGTCATATCATTGCACTAGGCGAACTAGTCACGGTTTTACGTACTAGGAATTTAAACCTTAAAACCAACGGGGGTCCCTAGATCCCTGAGATAGAGGATGACGTGAGAACCTCTCAGCGGTAGCCTGGCTAGGTCCCTCCCGGAACCTAATTTTGTCTATGGCTTGAAACTGGTATGCCACCAGGTTGTACCGAATCGAAGCCCGAGAGAATATCGACATGCACTAAGTATTACGTTTAGTCTACGACATAGAAAGATCTATACCTGTCCTGTAAGTATTTTCGACGTTTTATCAAAGGCCCTCTCCTCTCACTTTCGTATTTCATTAATTTTCCTTTTTTTATGATAACAATATTTAGTATGAATACGACGGCTAATAGTGACAAAGACTTGCTTCCACATATTTATTCCGAAAATATGAAATAAAGGTTACAACTATCTGTCCAAAACTAAAATCGAAAAAATTAATAAAAGGTTATGACGAATAAAAGGTACGTAACCGGTTCCTCCTTCACAGCTATTCTTTGGCTTTTTTTTGAGAAAAATAAATAATAACCATAACGAGTTATAACAATTAATAATAACACGTCTCTCAATAATTTATTTTTAGAAATCTGTAACCATAACAATCAATAATAACACGTCTCTCAATAATTTATTTTTAGAAATTTATAACCATAACAATCAATAATAATGTGTCTCTCTATAATTTATATATATTTAGAAATCTGTATCCATGATGAATTATAACAATCAATAATAACGCGTTTCATTATAATTTATTTTAGAAATTCAATTGTGACAATAAAGAATAACATGTCTCAATACTTTATTTTTAGAAATTAATAACGTAACGAGTCTCTAGGATTAGTAACAATAGTTAGTGTGATGTAAACATAAACATTTTACATTTACGCCTCACCTCATAAAATTTTAACCTTTTCCTTAATTGTATTGTATTTTTTTTTACTCTTCCCTTATATATTTTATTATCCTGAGTGTATTTTTTTTCTTGATTATTTTTTTTATCTTTAGTTAACGACCTTTATATTTTTTTTACAAAATAATCCAAAAGAAAAACCAATAAAAAATAAGTACTTTTGTTTCTTATATAATAATATAATGCAGAATCTCTATAATCAAAAATTAGAAAATTTTAAATAAAATTTTATCTTATAATTAAATCTTTAAAAAATAAAAAAATTTGAATTCTATTTATAAAAAGAAATTGATTTATCAAATAAAAAAATTCTCAATTTGATTACTTTATTTAATTATCACGTATCACATAATTTATATATTATTTTACTATATTAAACTCATTATATATATTATCAAATACTCTTCTATGAGACTTATATTTTTTTACTGCAAATTCTGCCAGCTTATCTGTAATTCCTTTCCTATATATATTTATATATCTTTAGGATTTTTGAGTATATTAATGAATAGTTATTAATAGTATAGAATCTAAAGCTTTAAATACAACTTTTTGTAAATCTAATCAAGAATAGTTACAATGATCTCTAGTATACTTTTTAGCAGCTCTTCAATACATCTCAATAAAATTGAGTTTACAATGATATTTTAAAAAAAAAATACATTTGTAATCTCATTTTTTAATTTCTTCCTGAAGACGAGATTTTTGAACAATAAAATCAGACTATAATGATAAAATCCTTTTCATACAAATAATCTTTTCTTTAATTATCTATAATTTTATTTTTGCCTTTATATAATTGATAATCTCTAATTAATCCATCTTGTCATAAATTTCTTTTTTTTAATATTTCACGTATTTCTTTTTATTGATTAAGATATGTAGGATGATTAGCAAGAAAAACTATTAATTAATAAGTATTATTTGATCTAAAATAAGTTAAACATATATATGATTATTTATCTCTAAGATTAACATTCATTAATTAAACATTTAACTATCTGCTGAAATTGATTCATAATTTATACTATTATCAAATACTATAATAGTAATTGCTTTAAAATAAATTATTTCAAAAATAGGAATAGCAAAATTAATAACTTAATCAATTAAATGATCAACCCTTTACATTTTTTTCAGATTTTAAAAATTTTCATGCTTTAATTAGAATATTTGGATTTAATTATGCTTATTTTAAAGTTAATTTTAATCATCCAATTTTTTCAAGTATAAATTTACTAATCATAATTGATCTACTTTGACCTTTTTTGAAGTGGTAGTTCTCCAAATAATGCTTATATAATTGGATGATCATCATTTGCATAAAATAATGATTCATTATATGTTACAAATATATGAATTTTTTGATTATCAATAATTTCTGGATTAATTTATTTCATTTTGTCTCCAATAAATATTAACATAAATTGTTCATATTCTTTTATTTATTTTAAAAAACTTCATAATATGCTAATATATTCTTTTTTTATGACTATTAAAATAAATACCTTTTTGAGATTATAGAACTAAATCAAGTTCTTTTAGCTAAATTCGTAAAGTTTTTAATGAAATTATTTTTTTTTCATTTGTTGTTTTATAAAGTACTAATTAAATAAATTACTAATAATTTTTTAGTATTATTTTATCATTATTTTGATGAATATATCTAAGACTATATCAATTAAATCTTTATCATTAATAAGTGATTTTATTTTTTATGATATCTTTATATACTTATTAGTAATATTTCATTTTTTATCCAATATTTTACCCAATCACAAATATTTTTTGCTTGATAAAAATTTATATATTGCCTGATAATGGAAATATTCAAATGCAGTTAAGTTTTTTTTTTCATTTTGTAAAATATTTTTAAGTTGTTCAATTTCTTTTAAACTAATTATATTTTTTTTGACCAGAAATACTATTATCAAAAGAATCAGATACATATCTATCATCACTATCAAAAGAATTGGATGTATAATTACCTCTATTGTTAAAAAAATTGGATGCATAATCACTACTACCATTAAAAAAATCAAATGCATAATCATCATCACCATTAAAAGAATTAGATGCATAATCACTACCACTATTAAAAGAATCAGATGTATAATCATTACCACTATTAAAAAAATCAGATGCATAATCATCATTACCATTAAAAGAATTAGATACATAATCACTATTACTATCAAAAAATTCAATGTATAATAACTACTATCATTAGAAAAATTAGATGTATAATTATTATTACCATCAAAAGAATCAGATACATAAATATCATTATTTTTAAATTTATCATCTCTTAATATATTATTATAAAATACATTAATACCAGACATACCAATATCTAATACATTACTTTTACTAACTAAATATTCATTTTCATTATTTTTTGTATTAAAATTTTATTTTTTATATGCAGAAAAATGATCAAGAGATTTTGTTTTGATTGCTGCTAATATAAATTTACTGGATAGTTCATATTTTCAATATTTAGTAGCTTGTGATAATTCAAGTTTGTTCTTTATTTTTTTTTTTACTTTTTTTTCAATTTTTTTTATTAATTTTAATTTTCCAACTTCATTTAATTTTTGTTCAAATACATTGTTATTTTCTTCAAAATCATTGCTGAAATCAGATGAATAATCTTCATCACTAAATTTAAAAAGGTTTTTAGATAAAATAAAATTTGAATCTAATATTTTTGCATTATTTTTATTTTTTTTTCGTTTTTGAAAATTTTTTCATATAGCAATTTGGCATCTTTTAATGGTATATTAAGTAAAATAAGTATAATATATAAAAATTACTAATAATGTAATTTTTTTTAATTAAAAACTTAATTAGAACAAAAAAATCTTTAATTAAATTTATAAAAAGGAATCAATTTCTTGAATAATATTATTATTACACAAAATTATAATATTCTTAATTTTTAATTTTATAATAAATTTGGCTATTACTTTAACTTAATATAACTCAATAAATTTAGCTATTACTTTAACAAAATATAACTCAATTGATATTGAATAATATAAAAAAATAACATATATCTTAGAAAACTCTAGTATTTGTTTATTATTATTATTGGTTAAAATTTTTAAATCAAATGTTTGTATTATATATTTAGGGATAAGCATTAATTAACTTAGTTAATTAATCATTTTAGTTAATTTTGAATTGACCAATCAAATCAAAAGAAAATTGACCAATAAAATTGATAGATTAATATAGATAATAAATCATCTTTTTTATTGTTTAAATGTTAATATTTTATGAAAGTTTAATTTTGAATATGTAAATTTTCCTTTTTAATCTTTTTAATATATAAAATCTAAAATCACGTTAAATAGCTTTGCTTATTCTCCTTATTCTCTTTGTTCTTATTATTTTCAACTTATCAAATATTTGATTTATAATAAAGTCAACACTTTTTGAAGTACATTTTTAATAATTTTTTTAGTTTTTTTATTCAAAATGATAAAAAGGAAGGGAACTATTTGAAATTATTGAATAATTATTATATAAAGTTCAATAAAAAATAATGAGATTAAACTAAATTTACATCCTTCTATAAAATGTAATTATTATTCTAAAGTTTTCAATAGAGCTGTTTCTTTAAGAATGCAAGCTCATCTTAATGATCATTTAAATGCATCAAGTAATACTAAATTACAAAAAACTATTCTAATACAAAATAGTATACCCTTAAATATCACAAAACATCCTTTAACTTATACAAATACACCTTTTATTAAAAAAAATAGATCTAAAAATAAATCAAATTAGATAATTTTGTTGATAGTATAAAGAAAGAAAAACAAGAATTTCTTGAATTTTTACTAGCTTAAGCATTATATTCAGCTGAAATATCATTTACCTTTGTTAATAATTCCTTTGTTATTCAATTTTTTAAATATCTTCAACCATCTTTTAAACTTTTAAATAGAAAGAAGATTTCTAATGAATTATTAGATGAAGTTTATGAAGATGTAAAGATACAAGCAGATAAACAAATTTCAAAAGAAATAACTCTTTGTATTGTTTCTAATGGTTGGTCTAATATTAACAGAGATTCAGTATATAATTATATTATTTGTATTTTAAAACTATTTTTTTAATGCAATTTTTTCAGGTGAAGAATCTCATATAGCAGAATGGATTGCAGATCAAATAATTCAACAAATGGATATTATTGGTATTCAAAAGTTTTCAGCAGTTATTATAAATATAACTAATATAATGAAAGTAGTATGGAAAAATATTGAAGAAAAATATCCTAATATCAGTGTTGGCATTGGACTCATTCCAATTGACTGAATTGGATGATTTGAACAATTGGACAATTAGACATAGATCAATAGCGTACAATTGTCCAAATCATCTAAATAGATTTTTGTTAGATTTGGACTATATCTAATCGTTCAATTGGATTATTAGACATGCAATTGGACTTAGTCCAATTAATTGTCCAATAAAATTCAATGTAATACATGATAATCAAATAAAAAATCTTTCGCAAATTTTTAAATTTTTACAACTTCGCAATGCAATAGTTTTATTTTGCTTTAGAATTTATGCATTTTAAAATTTGGATATTTTCATAATAGTTATATTGGCAATAAGGTACTTCAGTACCTCTTTTTTTCATTTTTTTTAATAATAAATATAGAAATAACACGGGAAAACATAAACTTAGTGGTTATTTTTTGATATTGGAAGAAAAATCTAATAAATAGAACAACTATGCTATTTGTTAGGATTGTATTTGGGTTTTAGGTTCAGAAGAAGCTTCAAAATATAAATTTATAAATATCAAGCGTGCATGTGTAAATCACCTTAAAAGTTATTCTTATTAGGCTGAAAGATATACCTCAAAACAAACTAGTGCTATAATTCAAAATGCAATGGATTATGGATCAAAAAAATGTAACAAACATCATCAATTAGTAATTGAAAAGGAAGGGGATAAAGGGGATGAAGGAGAAGGGGATGAAGAGGACGAAAGAGGTAGAAGGGATACATTTTAATTAACTTTTCATACTTCAATACCACAATTACCTCCGTCACAAAATTTAAACAACTTTTTTTATACAACATCATTTATTACATCATATAGAAGCAGTATAAGTGATATATCTAATATATCATCTCAAAGTTTTAGTCTGCTTGATAATTATGTATATCGTGAGTTAAAACCTGAACAAATAGAAATATTTGAATAATTATTGTTAAATGTTACTGTTATATGTGGGTTTTCTTTTTGTTGAGTTGAAAATTCAGCAGTTAAAGAACTTTTTAAATGGATTAATCTAATGTTATGTTTGCCAAGTTGAAAACAGCTTAGTGGTCAAATTCTTGAAAGAACTACCAACAAAATTTTAGAAACTATTCTTAATGATGCTATTAATGATGATTTTGGTGTTATGTTAGCTTTTGATAGATAGAAGAATGTAGCATGTCAAAATTTATTAGAGTCTGTTTTATTTACTTCAGAAAATAATATGATTATTTGGAAAATTGAAGATATTAATGGAAAAAGATGTACAGGTGATATTGTGATAGATGAAACCAAAAAATCTTTTGAATAACTTGAACAAAAACAAATTAAAGTCAATGGATTAATCACATTCAGCTTCAGAAAATGCTGCTGCAAGGTAATTAATTATATAATTATTTTAATTTATATTTATTAATTATTAATTA